CCCGGCCGAGCCCCGGGTCCCCGCTGGGCTCCCCGGTTTCCCCCTAGTGCGAGCCCGGCCGCTGCTCCCCAGCGCTTATAAGCACGAGCCCCCAGACCGACTTGTTGTTTTCCCTTAGGGGAAAAAAATCTGCATCTATATGTGTGTGTGTGTATATATGTGTGTGTATATATATATATAGTCTCAAGTTTGCTGTCAGCCTCATTTCAACCTACTGTTTACATAAGGAATTAAAAATCGAGGAACCGTTCCAATAATCCCTCATTTGAGCAGTGCTTTCCACCCATCCTAAAATCTCTGCTGACCGGGCTTCGCTTTTCCGGGATTCGGGAGGGCTTTTGTCTTTTAGACGCTGATTTACGGGGTTGTTTGTGCCGCTCAGGTGCCGGCGTAGTTCCAAAACGCAGGGGTGCCTGCTAGGAAATGGAGGTTAAAAAAAGAAAGGAAACAAAATGGATCTGGAGGAGTAATTCCCACCTAAAAACAAGTAGAAGGAGCAATTATAGACTGAGGATGTGAAAGGTTGTTTGGTGTTACGTAACTTGCCTCAGCAGGTTGTATAGACACCTTATGGACTATGTAAACACTAACGATACTGTGGAAAAACATTGTTCCTGTAGCCACATTAAACAATTGATGCTCGATTGAATTAAAATGTCAGTAGTAAAATGGATGTTATCTGTATTTCAGTAACCCTTTTAAGGGCTGTTGAAGCCTCAATGTAGTTTCTTAACCTGTTACAATTTTAAAAACAAGCTGGAGTTTATTCTGGTTTAGAATAAAATACAGTATAATGTAGCTGAGATACATTTAAACATCCTCATTTTAATAGCAAAGGAGGAATTTAAAACTCCAAATATCATCAGCATTTCTTGAACATTGATTATGTGTACTTTATAATGCATAAATAATACAACGCATTAGTTTTTGAAAATTGCTTTTGAGCATCATCAGCATGATATATATGTTTTAATCAATATTGTTTCATTCTGTGTGTTTTCTGTCTGTACGGGGAGTTCTGAGAATAACTCTGAGTCTAATCAATTTTCCCTTCAGTCCTAACCCGTTGCGTGTAGCAAATGAGTGGAAGTGATTAAACTTTCCTTCACACTAGTGCTTTTTTTCTTTTTCAAATTTGTTTGTCCCGGTCTTGTTAAACCCAATATTCCTCCTGTTTATGTTCCAGGACAGCACAAGGTTAGTGTCATTTTACATGTGTCAACATCGTGGTGACTTGCTGGGTTTCCTATTCGATTTGTACTCTGGAAGCAATCCCAGGTGCAGCTTTGGGGGGCAAAATTTGTGTTTGTGTCTTTACTTACAGTTCCCACTCATGCCACATGTATGTGGCTACAGGCAAAATCTGGCAACAGGAGCTTGTTAAGTTAGTCAGCTTGGAGTGAGCTGTGTTAGTTGCTCTCTAGGGTTTCCTTTCAAGGATGAATCTCCACTGCTGTCCATTAGTGGTCAGCTGTATGATGTCAGCTCCTTCGGGGTTTTTGTAATTTATGTCATTAAAGTAAAATGATATCTGGAAATTGGAAGGCCAGTATGTTCCTAGTTGTTAATTGAGGATTTTGGGGTCTTAAGTACATATTTATTATTTTTAGCTGAAGTTACAGAAACAAGAATTGACTTTATGGCAGACAAGCCAAAATTTCTTTTTGTAACGTGGTTACAAAAGAAGAATCTGGTGATCTTTTTAGACAAGTGTCAGATCACTGAGAATGCATCAGTTGGGTAGTTAGCTTTCAGAGCACTTCTGCAAGTGAACAGGAGACCTTGGAGGTGTTTTTTCTTTTGCTCTTTTTCATTTTTTTCAGTTTCACTTTTTTAAACCTGTAGCCACACACTATATGAAGTAAGGGGAAATGAATCCTTGTCTCAGAGAAATTAAGTAGTTTTGAGTAGTCGAACTCAGCTGGGATTGCCAAAAGAGGTACCAGTGGTGATGAGGATATTTATTCATTGGGAGCTGGATAGACAGTGCTGATTCATTGCACAGAAAAGATACTGAATCGACATTAGATTAGATTATTTCCTTCCTTTGTTGTTTTGTTTTGTTTATTGTTTTATTTGTGTTGCGCCCGTTTGCATGCCAAATTCTTTTGCAGTATCTGGATGTTTTGCTGGAGCCTCACAAGCTGTGTGAGGGATATTTGGATTTTTAAAGATCGATCAGCAGCAGTAGGGCCTGCTGTCAGGCAAGGAGCTGAGAGCTCTCCTCAGCAGCTATTAATAGTTCACTTCCTGGGAGACTTGTGCTCTCCCAGGTGAGCTGATGTCTGCACGTGGGCACTAATCTACAAGGACAACAGCAGCAACGCAGATACCAGCTTCAAGAACGTACCCGTGAAAGCTGCTTTGGTACCTGGCTTCATATATGTTTGGTCATCTGATTAGCTCTGAGAATTATAGATATATATCCTATTTTTCCTATGTATATTTTTTTCCCGCTGGGATCAAATGTCAAAATTAGATTTTCATTTCTCAGCAAATGTTTGCTAATCTTTAAAGTCTGACTTAAATAACCTGTAGTTTGTTTAGGAAAAGGTACTGGGTACAAAAATGACAATCTGCATTCTAACACATTGATTAAGTTATTAAATTCTTATTACTATTGACTGATAGCGTCTTTGGTGTGTGTATAGCACCTAATGGATTTGAACTTTGGGCAGTGGTGAAATTCAGACAAATAATAATGAAATACAACATTTTCATGAGAAATCTAATCTAACTTTGATTTGAAGTTCCCATGCTGTAGAGATTGTAGTTTGCTGTTTTATGAGGGGGAAGGAAAAAACAGTGTAAACTCTTTCCTACTGAATACATTTTGTTCATAGAATTTCATATTGTAGGGTTATACATTGTTATAAATGAGCAGGAAATGGAGAATACAAAAGTAAACTTCTAAGTATTGCATATTTTGCTGATATTTGTGTGTATTTTGGTTAAGGTTATATGTCTTGCCTACCAAGACTCTCACCCCTCAAGAGAAATCATTGAGTCCTCTGCAGTGGTGCAGACGTTTTCTGGATCATCCAAGTCCTGAGATAGAGGCTGCAAAGCGTTCTCTATGCTTTAGATTGGAACAAGGTAATCTTATTCTTTGAATTTCTCTATTATGAAGTTGGCATTTTTTGCCTAGCACATCACTAGTACTCAGCGACTTTGGCAATGCAGCAAATTTAATGAGTGGTGGGCATGAAGTCCTCTCATGTAGGCAAGTCTTCCTTCTGCTCTGTGAAAACTCCAAATAGTTGTTTGAGGTACTTTAAAAACGTATGATCAGAAAAAATATTCTACTTCATTATTCTTCCCCCTGCCTCAAGTAATTCCTCCAGCTACTCCCTATTAGTATTAAAAATTGGTTAAAAGAGAAATTAGGGACCTCTGGGGGGGAGAACTTTGATGCTAACTTTAGAATAGGTCAAGCACCAAAATTTGAAAAATGGTTCTTTGGTTTTTGTGTAAATATAATCACAGTAAATTTCGCCACAGTATATATCATCACAGCTGTAAATGTATAAGATATATGTGACCACATCTCACTGTAGTATCAAGACTTAGCACTAAGCATAGGCCAGACAAAGAGGAGCTGTAACTTGATTGCTAGGGCTGCCTTTTGGGGGTCTTGGCAGCCTGTAGTATTGAGATCAACTTGATGTCTGCTCGGTGCTGGTGTAGGTACTGGAAGAGGTATGTCTGGGCGTGTTGAATTTAGTTCTGAATTATTTTTGTTTTTTTTATTGGCCATCTATGGGCCTATTAAGATTGTAGTAAGTGTTATTGAGTGATGTGATTAAGGTAGAAAATTATCTTAAGATTATCTTAAGTGGCATTGAAAAAAGTGCAAATGAATATTGTAGGAGAAGGGTAGGAGAAAGAAGTAAAGCTAATGGCAATGTGCGTATATGGTTTTATACTTCAGCTACAGTCTTCATTAAGAGAGATTAAACATGTAGTTAGATGTTTTGGAGAATGTGGGAATTGTGGATTAGTACTTTAGTAGCCTCTGAAGGTGTCTGTCTCTTTGTACTGACTAAAAAGAATCCTGCAACAGTTAACATCCTGGCAATATGCAGCCACTCATCTGCTAAAACTACTTCCCTAAAATTAAGGGGCCAGATTGGTGTTCATGCAATGGTAATCATCCCAGCGACCTTCAGGGTGACATTTGCCTCCAGATTCAGACACCTGGATTTAGGTGTCAGCAGTATGAGCTGGTGTCAGTGCTTCCTTTGTGATCAGTGGGAATTTTTAGCTAGGGGAATCTGGGAAGCTGCTCCAATGAAGTGATAATGAGATGAAATTGGTGGCTTCACAGGGCCTGCTCACACCTACCTTCACAGCTGGTCGCTTACATGTACATGTCTGATGTAGGGTGTTTTTCCATTCCACGGTTAAAAACACACTTGAAAGATTTAAATTACTGGGAAATAAAGACAGGAGAAAGGCAAATTTATTACTTAATTTGATGGTTATTTGTTTGTTCTATGTCTATATGAAAGAAGTCACAGCAGGTTATCTGGTCAGTGGGTCACTTTGATGTGTTCTAGTCACAGTGATTGCCTCATGAATTTCCTGGGCTTCGTAGAAAGTTTCTGCAAAACTATACACCATATGTAAAACCATATTATGAACATGTATGTTTAAGGAGGGAATGAACTTCTATTTCTACTGAAGCAAATCTGTGCTAAAGTTGTTTTCATTAATTTTCATAATGCAAAATAATTTCTTTTTGGCAGCTTTACCTTTGCAAATAATAGGCAAAAGTCCTATCATTTTTCATACTCAAACATTGTAGAAGCAGGTTACAAAATATTTATTTCTTTTCTGGTTTTGAAACAGGATGAAGCATCTGGAAGAATGTAATAATTATGTTTTAAACAAAAACAAACTTTCTGTTATCTGACCTTCCTGTTTTTATTTTGCTGTACAGTCTATCAGTAAGCATTTGTATTTTTATTGTGATTTTAGAAGTGACTAAGAATGGTGTTCTTTTCTGATGCAGGAGACTGAAACTTCTTACTTGTAATCTGAAGAGTGCCTTTCTGCTTTCTGCCCCCGTATACTTTGAAATGACATTTTTAAATCTAGCTGTACTTCTTCAGTTTGGCACAAAGTCAATGGAAGTGTTGCTATACTTGAGAAATACGAAATCTGTAGTCAAAAGGCCAGTCCAGTGTACCAACCTGTGCTTCCTGAAATAGCTTGTAGACAGAATTTGCTTAATAATGTTGTCTATGGTGCGTGAGCCAAAAATTAATGCATTTCAGAATTTCATAGCTCTTTAAATGTATAGTGCACTTAAAAGTAAAAAGGAGAAAAAAATGATTTTTTTTTTCTCAGCAAAATGAGCATATCTGAATGAGGACCCATGGAGAGAAGAGTTGTGAATCAGAAAGCATAATCTTGCCATGCTATGTTCTGTTTGGTTTTGTTTCTTTTTTTGTTTATTTTATTTTTTTTCTTGTTTTGATCATTGAAGTTTTAACTCGTTCCTGTTTTATTTGGATGGCTTTTACATATGTGTTCATTTATTCTGGCTCTTGTAAGTTTTCCTTATTGTATCATATAATGGTTTTCAAAGAAAAAATGGATGAAATCCAGCATTAGAACAGCTCACAACAGACCCAAAGGCTTCCCGAGAGATTTATGTCAAAGGAGTTCCAGACAACCAAATGATAAAATGACTACCTGGTCTTTCGGGCTGGAGAGTTGCTAGAGTGAATGATGCTTGTTTAATTTTCACCTTGTTCTACTCAGCATGATGTTTCCTTTATGGTGGAACTCTTTTATGTATTCTGTAGGGGAGGTAAGATTTCATATTGGAGTAAAAATTTTGAAGACTTAAGCAGAGTAGTCGTTTCCAGTAGGTGGTTCTTCTGTGAATCAGTGTGTAAAATTAGACAAGATTCTCAACATTCATCTGGCTTACAACTAATTCATTAATGCTTATATTTTGTTTGCAATGAATGAGGCTCATTACAAGCTCTGTTTCTGTGGATTAAACATGCTAACTTTCAGGAGGATGACAATTAAATTTAACTTCATTTATTAAGACTTTTTTTCCCCAAGGATGTTTCCTGTTTTCTATAAATAGTTCTAATGTTGAGATGATCTCTGCTTCATTTTACTCTGTGGCCTAACCTGGATCATTTCTATCTTTATGCTACTTTTCGATCATCTTTTGTCTGATTTGTTGTTTTGTTTAGAGCGCTTTTCTATCTACTGCAGGCTGCACTCCCTCTACCTTTAGTTTTTAATATTTCTTTTCTTTTAGATTCATTCAAATCACCAGGACCACATAGTAGAATTAACAGTTTGTGGAGCTTCTTCTGTATTTGCTGGCAGTATGCCTGGGAGATGTTGGGCCGTGTCAGTATTAAGCCAAGTGAGCAGAGAGATGTGATGTGTAATGTTCCCATCTGATGCAGATCAGTATAACTTCTCTGAAACCTATGAAGTGATGTTGATTTACACTCTGCTGAAGATGCACTGTATAGCTTCACCTCTGTAGAAAGCTCTGGAGCAGACGAGTGGATAAACTTAGGAGTTAAGAGGCTTAGCAAGGAGTCAGTCTGAAGGAGCTCAGCTTTTATGCAGGGCTTCAACCATATCTCTTTCAATTCTGCCTTCCAGAGAGAAAAGCGCTCTTTCACGGAGAATATGAAGTGTTGGTTAGATTCAGAATTTGGCTTGGATGAACTCTCATTCAGTAATGCTGCTTCAGCTGTTCAGAAACTGGCAGCAGAAATCTACAGATTTGCAATTGGCTGCAGCAATTTCAGTCTTTTAAGATGTAACTGCTCTCCATTTCTTACAGTGAACAACATGCCTCAAATGAATGTTTTTATGTGGTCTGTGGACGATAAGGCTTATAGAGAAGCAGATAGCAGATATACTGTAGTTTTTACACTCGTTTATGATCAGTGATGTTTTAGCTCTCATTGTGTTGGTATCAAGCCATGTGCCAATTGAAGTTTGAAATCCAAACTTGTAACATACCTAGATGAAAATTTGAAAAAAATAAGAAGAGGAAAAGATGCGTCATTCAACAGTTCTATGCTGTCTTTATCATTACAAAATCTCTCACAGTAAGAACCCAGACAGAATGTTTTACCCTAATCTTTTTGCTTGCACAGAAACAGGCCAGGTTCTGTCCTCTGCTCCTTATTCTTTCTTCCTAAGGTTTCTAGTGAAACTATACACTTTGAAGTCCTTAAGATATTAAAAAAAAAAAAAAACACTCATGAACTGTTTCACAAGTTGCAGTTACAGGGAACTTCTGCACTGTAGCCTGTTAATAGCAGAAACACAAAAAATATTTATAAATAAGTGGAAGCTTATGTTTCCCCTGATTGAGCTGCATCCAATGCTGTTTTGAACCAGCATTTTTTTTTCCTTCATACAGCTTAAGGTTTATCTATTAAAGTGTCAGAGATGTATATTATGGTACTCAGGATTTGATTAACAAGAATAATACAGCTTTTCCATCTTTATTTTCAAACATAATAGAGATTAAAAATTTAATAACATATTCTAGAGTAGGAAATTGTAGTGTGCTGAAGCTTGCAGATAAGATTGTTTCTGTCATAAATAATATAATTTTTAAAACTCCAGAAGAAATAGCAGAAGTGGAAAGAGTAATTCAGTCTTTTTGTGTATGTTGTTCTGATAACCATAGAACCGTTAAGGTTGGAAGTGATCTCATAACAAAAAGTTTTGACTACCAGTAGCTGCTATGACCATCTGAGCACTTTTCAGGTATTGTGGCATCTTGAAGAAGAGAGTGCAGAGCAGATTTGTGTTGCAGTGCAAGTTGAGTGCTCAGAGCTGGAGCACACACTTGCATAGGAATTATTTCCTCTTATATTTCATTCATTTGAAGGAACCTGTTCTTTGCATCTGTAAAATTCCAAGCAGTTCTTGGAGCTTTTGCAAAAGCTGATTCTGCTGGATTTTCGAACACGCCTACTGAAGATGATTTGTATATTTTGATGTGGAAAAACTCATTTTTGATACTCTACTTAGAAGCATGTGTTTGCATTTCAAACAGAATATTTCTCTCCAGGATTGGAGCATTTCTACTC